GACATAGAGGTGAGAAAGGGGGAAGCCGCAGCCGTGGCGGGAGATGGGTGAGGAATACAACAGCAAGCTGAGGCTGCAAGGGGGAAAGGCTCACCCAAAATGATAGAGGGAACTGACAGCAAGAATTCAGGTGATTCACCTGGCCGGTGTGGCTCAGTGGTTGAACGTCAACCCATGAACCAGAAGGTCACATGCCTGGGTTACTGGTTTGATCCCCAGTGGGGGGCGTGCAGGAGGCAATGGATCGATGATTCTCTCTCATTGATGTTCCTAACTCCTCCCTTCCTCTCTCTGAAATAAATAAAATTAAAAATTAAAAAGAAGCGTCCAGATCGCTGGTCTCCCACGCTGAGGGAGAGGAGGTCCTAACGTTCTGAGAGGCAGGGTTTCTTTGTGGCCTGTGGAATCAAACAGGATCTGGGTTTGGAAGCCAGCACATACTTATTACCCTCTCTGACCCTCAGTCTCCTCATCGGTAAAATGGGTTAAACCTTCCTAATAGAGTCGTTGTGGGGGTTAGAAAGAATAAGGAGTCAACCCCCCGCCCCCAGAATGCCTGGCACGCAGTAGGAGCTTAGTAGACATAGTTTTCATCCTTCCTTTTACTTCTATGATCTCACATGCTACAGTTTACAGAAAGAATTGAACTAGGAGCCAGGAGATCTGGCCAATCTGGGCTCCAATACCATCTTACTGTGTGACCTGGCCAAGCCGCTCTCCCTCTCTGGGCCTCAGCGGGCATTAGCAGATAAGATGAGAGAGTTGTGCTAAGAGCACTTGAGCCATGATCTCTCCTCATTCCAGGCCTATGGCTCAGAGACACAAATAGATCTCAGAGTAGGCGTGCCCCGTGTGACCCTGGAGAGTGGGGTGAGAAGCAAGAACATTGACACAAAGTCCCCTGTGACTCCCAAATCCAGCCACCACAGGGGAAGCCAAGTGCAAGCCGGGGAAAAGGTCTCAGATACAACCATCCCCTTGTTGCAGGGGCAGAGTCCAGCAGGAGCTCTTTCCCCTGCAAAGCAAACTGGCCTCGCAGCCATCAAGTGGCTGGAAAGGGAACAAAAGCAGCAGGTCCAGAGGGCCAGGCCCCTGGCCCGGAACAGCCTGCTGGGCTCCCTCACATGCCCGCCCCAGGCTCAGGGCAGAATATGCTCTTTGTCCCCCTGCGGGCTCTTGTCTAGCCTGGTCCCTGGAGCTGGGAGGGCGGCCTGGGAGGGTTTCTGAAGCCCTCCAAGCAGCTTTCCCAAGGGAAAAGGGCTGCTGGGGTGGCTGGGTGTCCCGAATGGATCTGGGTGGGGGCGGGGCAAGCTCTCCATTACTGTGGAGCCAGCCAAGTTCCACCTGGAACTTGGAGGGATTTCTCCCAACTCTTATTGTTGCTTCCCCAACCCCCCTCATCATTCCTCTCTCCTGCCTTCCTGGCTCGCTCTCTCTCTCTCTCTCTCTCTCTCACTGTCCATCTATTTCTCCGCCTTTACAAAATTTTTTAACACTGTCTCTCCCACTGCCTTCTCTGTGTCTCTGTCTCTTCTGTCTCTCTTGCCATATGTCTGTTGTTTTTCTTTCTTTCTTTCTTAAATATATTTTATTGATTTTTTTATAGAGAGGAAGGGAGAGGGATAGAGAGTTAGAAACATCGATGAGAGAGAAACATTGATAGCTGCCTCCTGCACACCTCCTACTGGGGATGTGCCCGCAACCAAGGTACATGCCCTTGACCAGAATTGAACCTGGGACCCTTCAGTCTCCCCTACTGGGGATGGAGCCTGCAACCCAGGCATGTGCCCTGACCTGGAATTGAACCGTGAATGCATAGGTCATAGGTCGACGCTCAACCACTGAGCCACACTAGCCAGGCTGTCTGTTATTTCTTACCATATCTCTCCATCTCTGAATGGGCCTGTGCCACTGCCTCTCTCCCTGCCTGTTTTTCTGGGTGTCTCTCTATCGCTTTGTCTTCATCTCTCTCCCTCTGCTTCCCTTCCCAGCCCTCTGCCCACCACGCTCACTCACTGTCTATCCATCCCTGCAGGTACAGGCTGTGGGTGGATAGCTGCTCGGAAATGTTTGGCGGCCTGGACATCTGCGCGGTCAAGGCCGTCCACAGCAAGGATGGCAGAGACTACATCATCGAGGTGAGGGCGGCAGCGGAGGCGCCCCTGGTCCGGCCCAGCCCCGGGCAGGCTGCGGAGCGGAGGGCTCCAGGTGTCCTCCCGGCAGGGGCCAGCCGTGTCTGACTTGAGCCTGGGCACCTGCAGCCTCACACATCCCCACCCCCACCCCCAGCTGCATCTCAAGCCTGTGCCCGGGGCCTCGGAGCTGGGCCCCCACAGCCCCCGGCATGCGGTCTATCGGCACCCCTGACCCGTAGGCCCACGGGAGGCGAGAACATCAGGCTACGGGGGCAGGTTCTCTCCCGTTGGGCCGCTGACATGTTCTCAGTGTCCAGCTGTGTAGTCACCATGCGGAGTTCCCATCGCCTGTTCAGTCGGTAAACATATCCTCGGGGGTCAGGGGCCAGGCACGGCGGCTCTGGGGACACAAAACAGACCCCGGGTGTGCGGCTGGCAGCGAAGGATGATAAACAAGCGGCGGGGCATTGACGGGTAGGAAAGGGGACGCCGCTGTGCAAGCGTGTCAACGGAGGGAAAGCTGTTGGGACGTTCATTGTAAGAAGTCCAAGAGGGGCCGTGGGTCCTAGAATCCCTCCCACAACCCCCTGCGGTCCTCCAGGACCATCACTCCACGCCTTCCCCCAGCTTCCCCTCCGTGCTTCTCCCATCCCACAATCCTTCTCTCTCCTGACTCCTCCCTCGTCGCTCATGCTCCCACAATCCCCCTCTACCATCCACAATCCCACAATCCCCTTCTCCTCTGACTCCTCTCATGTCCCTCCTGTTCCCACAATCCTCCACTAACCCCAGTACCCCTTCATGTTTCTCCCAATCCCACAATCCCCCTCTCCTCCGACTCCTCCCCTGGCTCTCGTGCTCCCACAATCCCCCTCTCCCCTCCATGCATCCTCTGTGCCTCTCCTGCTCCCACAATGTTTCTCTGACCCCCACTCCCCTGCCCCCTCCCCACCAGAGCTCATGGCTCCACTGCTTTCCCCTGAGAATGCCCTCTGGCCTCAGCTCTCCCTTCTCTCCCATTTCATGCCGCGCTCGCCCCTCCTTCGAAAGCACCTTCGCAGACACCCACCTCCTGGGGCTGCTCACAGGGCAGCGGGACCGAGCTGACCCAAGGCCAGGACAGGAGAGCGAGCCCGCCCGGCTGGGGCTGCGGCTGCTGATGGGAAGCACGTGGCCTGTAGGACCAGCTGCTCGTGGCCAGGAGAATCCTGGGGCTGCTCACAGGGCAGCGGGGACCAAGCTGACCCAAGGCCAGGACAGGAGAGGGAGCCTGTCCCGCCCGCCCGGCTGGGGCTGCGGCTGCTGATG